TCCTGTATAGAAAATCATCCATATATTCCTTATAAAAAGTATTCTATATAGATGGTATTCTATATAAAAAATCTTCGCTATAGAAAATCTTCTATATAAAAGTCTTCCATATAGTTTTCCATATTGAAAGTTTTGTGTATAGAAAGTCTTCTATATAGAAAGTTTTCAATACTGAATGTTTTCTATATTGAAAGCCTTTAATATAGCAAGTCTTAAATATAGAAGTTATTTTATATAGAAAGTATTTTACATAAAAGGTCTTCGGTAGAGAATGTCTTCTTAAAGAAGTATTATAAAGAAAACTTTATAGGGAAATCTTCTATATAAAGTCAGTATAAAACGTATTTTCTATAGAAATTCTTCCATATAGAAAGTCTTCTATATGTAAGGCACTCTATCTAGACGGTCATCTACACAGAAAGTCTTCAATGTGGATAGTTTTCTATACTGAACGTTTTCTACCCATACTGTATGTTTTCTAAGTGAAAGTCTTTTTTATATACCGCCTTCTACAGGGTGAGATAAAAGTTGTTGCAAAGTCAAACGTCATAATTTTTACATTTTTTTTAAATTTTTTTGAATGAAATCAAAAAATGTCGGAAATAGCATCAAATTTTAGAATAAGTTTAAATTTGTTCGAATTGGTAACCTTTGGCACGAATTATGGTCTTCAAACAGCCAATTAAACCGTCCAAATGTTGCTCTGCGGTATTTTGGCGCATTTCCGGCGAAGCGCTTGCTTGAGGTGATCGACACTTTGGTATTTTTTAAGGCCAACCTTGCTTTCCTAAATACTTCAGACACAATAGTCTAACGGATTGGTATACGGAGATTTTGGTGGGCATCGTGCGCTGGAAATGAAGCGAGGAACCTCATTTTGTAACCATTCTTGGGTGGCACGTGCTAAGCCCTTTTGGAATGTCCAAGGTCTGCGGCCAAAATGTTTGCGTGCCCATGGCTTTAGTACATCCTTCGCGATAATATTCGGTATTTATTTTGATGCCACGGTCGATTAATACCAGCGGAGAGCGACTATCCGGTGTTATGGCGGCCCACACCATCACCATGGCCGGCGCTTGAGTTCTGGTGGCCAACCGAAGGTGAACATTTTCAGCTGACCTCTTTGGCAAGTAAACACGATCATTTTTTTTTTTGCTTACAAACTGCTGGACAACAAATGTTTTCTCATCGGAGAATTTTAGAATTTCAATGGCTTTACCCTGATCTCATTTTTCAATATTTTCCATATTTTCCGAATATTCGATATGTTCAGCTCACGAGCCATATTTTGGCCACTGCGACGTCGGTTTCGATCAAGTCGCAGTCCACTTCCTTGATATCGGGCTACGCTACCAGTATCACGGTAACGAGCGATGGTACGAGACACAAAAGATTTATTCACATTTAAATGCTGGAGTGCTCTGGCGATTGCCACTTGTGTTTTTTTAGCCAAATATAAAGAAATCACACTATCACGCTTGAATTCCATCACGAATAACTTTTTTTCTGGAAAATTCTTACCAAAATACTTTAGTACGTTTGTAAACAATATTATGAGCTGTCACTGAAATAATTTTAACAGCAGTTTGAAGTTGGTTGCAGTTTTTTCATCTCACCCTGTATGTTCTCTAATAAAATGTATTCTGTAGGAGATAGGAGGTTTCCTCTTGATGTAGATGTGGAAGGTCTTCTCTTGAAGATCCTATATAATAGGTGATTCATAAGATACATTTTATAGTGTTCATATGCATTTTTCGAAGGAAGGTTATCTATAGAAGGTTTTACATACAAAATCTTGTGGTGAATGTCTTCTAAGGAATGTCTTCTAAAGAATGTCTTGTCTCTATGAGAACTCTTGAAGAATAAAATTTAAGGACGATTCTCCATATAGGACCCTCAGGTTTTCTGCAGAACCCCTTTTATAGAGTGCCCCTATAGACGTGTTTTATTAGATCATCTTCAAAATGTTATTTAAAGAAAATCTTACATAGTAGAAATTTGTAAAAGGTCTTCTTCTTTTGTAACGAAGATCTTCCATATCGATCTTGTTTAGGTCTCCCAGAGAAATTCCCTTGACGAAAGTTCTACCTAAAAAAGTCTTTAGAAGGTTTTTAATAGGAGGTATTCTATAGTATGTCCTTTATAGATTGTCTTTCTTTTGTCTTCTAAAGGAGTACTCCTGAAAAAGGTGCTCTGTAGAAAGTGTTCTGTAGGATGTCGTCAATAGAATGCCTTCTTGTGAATGTATTTTCCAGAGAGTCGTATAAGATCTTCATCGATCGATGGACTTCTATAGAACGCCTTACGTATCTTTAATAGAACGTATTCTATATAACATGAATTGCATGCTTCACATTTGCCTACGGCATTTATATGTGGCAACTCCAACGATAGAATGCAAACAAACAAACAAATAACATAACCACAAAAGAATAAAAATGTGCAAAAAAAAGCACAAACCAACAAATATTTTTTCCAAGGGTTAATGACCCAAAATCTACAGCAAAAACCAAAAAAAAAAAAAAAAAATGAGAAATAAAGCCAAGCAACGAACTAAAGAATACACGCCACAAAGCGTTAAACAAAACTTCAACTGCATGCACAGCCACCGCATTTTAAAATACAACGTTGAACTTCCCCGATTGTACCATCATACCACAGCAGCAGCAGCAACACCACCACCACCGCCGCCACACCACACAACGCCCTAAAAAATCGCAAAGCACAATGCCAAATTACGCCACATAGAAGGCAATAACCAAAAACGAAGCAAACAAAAAAAATAAAATCAGACAAAAAGTACGTTTTCGTCGTTGTTATCTGTTATCCCTTCTTTCTGTGCCTACCCTTTTTTCTCATCCCACTCCTACTCCTACTCCTGTCCCTTTCCTTACCCTTACCCTACTCCTTCAGTTACTATGGTATTAGATGCCTTCGTTGTCATCGTCATCGTTGTTGTTGTCGCTTTTATTGGATGCTCTTTCCAACGACAAATCTATTGGCCCGTAAACCATTACCCCTTGGCACCTCATAAGGTTTCAGGAAAATATTGATTTTTGTTTTCCATTTGCCATTCAAGCAGCGAACAAACTGCAACTGAAAAAAAAAAACTGAACAGAGCGGAGTATTTGTGAGCCATTTCCTTCCTTTCTATGTCATCCACGCGCAATTGACACACGTTGTTCAAAACAAAACCTTGGCAAATCGTCCGGAAATGTCGGAGAAAACGGCGGCAGTGGTGGTGGAGCACCAAGAATGCATTGCAACAAAATTTTGTCATAGATGATTTATTTTAACAAAGATAAGCCTTCTATCGAGATCCAACCAACTCTTTGCAGTACAATGCTTTCTAATTGCTGTCCATCATTTATAACTGAAAACTACTGCAGGTGGAAGCATCATGACATCCATCGGTGGACAAAGCGAGATGAGGGCACGAAGACATTTGGCTCAGAAACACTCCCATTGATTATGGGCAGAAACATAGATTATATGGATAGAAAACACTTACAAGGTCTTAAATGGATGCAAGGCCGTCTATGAATAGAAAAACTTCTACAAAAGTTATATGGATAGAAGAACTTCTTTGGAAAGACGATCTTATGAGGTCTTCTATGATTAGCAAATATTTTAAGAGACCTCTATAGATATCACACCTTTTAAGAGTTTTCTATAGATAAACGAGCTTTTAAGGATCCCCTTTGGATAATATAACTTTCAAGGGCCTTGGGATAAAAAATCTTTTAGGGGCCTTCTGTGGTTAGAAGTGATTTTAATGATATTATATGAATAGAATACCTTTTAAGAGTATTTTTTGAATAGAATCCATTTAAAGATCTTCTGTGGGTTGAAGATCTTTTGAGTGTCTTCTTCCATATAAGACCTTTTGAGTGTCTCATATGGATAGAAGACGTTTAAGGGCCACCTATGGATAGAAGTCCTTTTGGGGGTATTCTATCTTCTATGGATAGAACTTTTAATGGTCTTCAATGTATAGAAGTGTGTATAGTGTATAGAATGGATAAAAGACATTTCAAGGGCCTCGGGATAAACATATTTCAAGGACCTTCTTTGGATAAATGTCTTATAAGTGTCTTCATTGGATAAAAAACCTTTCAAGGGCCTTAGGATAAAAAATCTTTTAAGCGTCGGTTAGAATACCCTTTCAGAGTCTTCTACGGATAGAAGACCCTATATTAAATATTACCTAAATGGAATTCGATTGAAAAATTTGACTACAATCATCGAAATACCAAATATGGAGATGTACCTTTATAGAAGTCACGTCACTTTCTTTCTGTCTGATAGATTAAGAACTTTGAATGCAATTTTTCAAACCCCTCCATTGAAAAATATATCTTAAATCATCAAATGAATATCGGGTGATACTACTATATAGAGTCAATAGGAAAACAAGGACCGAGAATGCGATCAAAATACCAAATATTAGGAAGTACCTCTACATGGGTGTTATGCGAAAACGTAGGCCGATCAATGCCATACAAATTTCAAAAATAACATGCATATGACGAAAACTAAAGCCATCTTGATCGGTGATTACCACATACTAATGGATGGACATTTTAAAATTTTGAGTTGATCAAGAATATATCTTTGTTGGGTCTCAAATAATTATTTCGATGAGTTACAAATGAAATGCCAAACATAACATACCCTTCCATACCATGTATGATGGAACGTATAAGAAACTTCTCATAAAATAGTTTCAACTAAAACTATAACAAATTTTTAGTTTGAAGGATATATGTAATTTTTTTTTTTTTTTTTTTTTTTTTTTGTATTCAATTACCCTCTTACATTAATTAGAAAACACAAGTCAAACGTAGAGCATATGTTAGGGGAAAACTCCACAGCACAACAAAAACTTTGTTGTCACATTTAGAACTATCAACAACAAGAACAACAAAAAATCACTTGTTTTGAACTTGTTCGTTTATTATTCTCTTTTTTCTGTCATACATCTATCAAATGACATCTGTTCCGTGTCCCTATGGCCTATTGTGTGTCTGTGTGTTTTGAACAATGTTTCCTAAACAATTTCTAAAACTTTGAGTCCCCTCATTCCCACACACATATCAGCTAAGCTCCTTTTACTTCAATTAGTTCACCTTTTCCGTTTTCAACACGTCCGTCACACCTTTGCCCACAATCACCATTTCGGAGGAAACAATTTGTTATTTACATTACATGCGGGCAACAACAACAACGACGACACCATCCATGCAGCAGTCATTGTTGTCATACAGGGAGCCAGCCAAAGTATCCTAGGTCATTTTAATTTGCTTTGCAATTCATTTTTATTTTGTTTTGTTTTAGGATAACAATTTCTGTTCTCCCCTAGCTAGGATAGCTGCTACGATACGAGTCATGCGGAGAGCAGAGCAAAGAACATGTTTTTAATTCATCCCTAGCTAGCTGGGGAGGAGCCAGTCCCCTACCATCATGCAAGGTGTATAAAAATACAACAATGTCGTCGGTTGTTTGTGTTATCCTTTTTCTTCATGATGTTGATGTTGTGATGATCTAGATACCTTATCCAAAGGATATCACTCGGAATGAAGTAGAAAAATACTGCAAGAGTACTACAATAGGTAAATACAATAAAAAGCTAATAGGTTTGGTCACAGCTGTGAGCTGTGCTTGCCACGAATATTTAAGATATCCTCTTCTCCTAGGAGGACAACAATACACTCACTGCCAAACACACCACCTTGAGATATAAATTCAATACAATACTAGGACTTAACACAACGACAACAACGAGGACGATACAATAAAACAGCAACCTATGAATAATGGGAAAGTGTAATCCTCTGGGATGAATAAAAAATGGAAATACATATCTAGATGACCTAAGATGTTTTTGTAAACAAGATAAAAGAAAATCTGTACAAGGGAGATATTTTGTTCCGTAGCTGATGCTGCTGCTGCAGATGTATTGGCTGACATTTTCGACAATGACAGGTGAACATATTAGAAATCAAGTAAAAAATTAAAGGGACAGGCTAAGAATGTAAAAATCTAGAATACGAATTAAACAACTCAGAAAAAAAACTGTAAATCAATTTGAGATGTGGTTCAATAAGAATGAATAATTAAGAAAAGGATAATAATTTTCCACACTTTACGGCTAAAGCTAGGATCTCTAAAGTTTGCATCAGAATTACAACTAAAGACATTTAAAATAATGGATCAATATTGGCCGGTTTTACCACTGACATTTGAAAATCAACAAGTTAAAAAGCAGTAAGTTCGGCCGGGCCGAACTTTTAATACCCTCCACCATTTGCAACGAATTTGGGAATTTTTAAAAAATAAAATCCTTAAAAAATTCTTTTAAAAATTTAAAAATACCGAATATAGCCGTTATATTGGGGTCTATACGACGTGGACATACATAGGCATTGTTTGTCATAAGCCATTACCATATTCAAATTCGAAACTTGAAATAAACAGTGAATAATGTAGCTAAAATCATCAAAATATCGTATATAAGGAGGTGCCGTTATATCGGAGCTGTGCGAAGACCTGGGACCAGCATAGACAATTTTTTGTAACAGCTGTAGCATCCATTACGAACTTCAAATACCACATCTCATACAATTTCGGTGGGTATTGTACCTAAAATCGTCAAAATACCGAATATAGGGAGGTACTGATATATGGGGCCTATACGAAGACCTGGACCCGCACAGACAATTTTCTGTCACAGACTGTAGTTCCCATAACGAACTTCAAATACCAATTTTGAAACAATTCCGGTGAATAATGTTGCTAAAATCATCAAAATACCGAATATAGGGAGGTACCGTTATATGGGGGCTATATGAAGACGTGGACCTGCACAGAAAATTTTCTGTCTTAGGGTGTAGTATCCATTTTGAACTTCAAATACCAAATTTGAAACAATTCCCGTGAATAATGTCGCTAAAATCATCAAAATACCGAATATAGGGAGGTACCGTTATATGGGGGCTATATGAAAACATGGACCTACATGGCCCATTTACGAACTTAACCTGCCTACTGGAAAAATAAACATGTGTGCAAAATTTTAGCCATCTATCTCAATTCATTCGAAAGATAGCGTGATTACAACAGACAGACAGACAGACGGACAGACAGACAGACAGACGGACATCGCTAAATCGACTTAGAATTTTACGCTGATCAAGAATATATATACTTTGTTGGGTCTGATATGAGTATTTCGAGGAGTTACAAACGGAATGACAAAGTTAATATACCCTCCATAGTATGGTGGAGGGTATAAAAATGATAAATTAGTTGGAACTGCAGCTAAGTCTTAAAAAAGTGCTCCCTATGTAGATGCCGAAAATCATTACATCTAGTTCAAATTAACATAACAAACTTGGAGATGAAGAAATACACTTTAATATTAGGAATGGAAAAACACATAGAGGTACCAAAAGGACTCGATGGAATACATTTTATGAATAGCTATGAAAAGCTTGGTGGTTTAAAATTTGTTACCAAAACAGTTAAAGCTACATACAGGGTGAGATAAAAAAATGCAACAAATTTTATTTAATGAAAGCAAAAATGTCGCATAGAATTTTAGAATATGTTTAGATTTGTTCGAATTGGTCACCTTTTGCACGAATGAAACCGTCACACCCTGCCCCAATGTTGCTCTGCTGTATTTTGGCCCATTCCCGGCGAAACGCGTGCTTGAGGTGATCGACACTTTGGTATTTTTTAGTGCCAAACTTGCTTTGCAAAATACTCCAGACACAATTGTCCAACGGATTGTTATCCGGAGATTTTGGTGGCCATGGTGCGCTGGAAATGAAGCGAGGAACCTCATTTTGTAACCATTATTGAGTGGCGCGTGCTGAGTGCAATGGTGCTGAATCTTGTTGGAATGTACAAGGTCTGTGGCCAAAATGTTTGCGTGCCCAAGGCTTTAATACATCCTACAGAATATTTTCGCGATAATATTCGGCATTTATTCTGATGCCACGCTCGGAAAAAGAAAAATCGGCAGTTCTTCACTTTCGGCCAAGCGAAGCAACTCTTCAGCTCTTTTGAGTCTATTTTCGTTCCATTGCGGTGTATGTTCTTGCACTTTTGGGAATTTCAATGGCTCTACCCCGAACTCATTTTTCAATATTTGACGAATGAAATATTGCGATATGTTCAGCTCACGAGCCATTTTTGGTCCCTGCGACGCGGGTTTCGATCAAGTCGCTTCTTTACATTCGAACCATTTCTGCTGATGCTGCTGTTTTCTTCCGTCCACTTCCTTGATTTCGGGCTACGCTACCAGTATCACGGTAACGAGCGATGATACGAGACACAAAATATTTATTCACATTTAAATGCTGAAGTGATCTAACTAACAATAGCCACTTGTGGTTTTCCAGCCAAATATAAAGAAATCACACTATCACGCTTGAATTCCATCACGTCTAACTTTTTTTCCGGGAAAATTCTCACTAAAATCCTCTTGCACGCTTGTAAACAATGTAAGGAGCTGTCACTGGAATAATTTTAATAATCCCTTAATTAAATTCCTTTAAAGAGGATCGTAAGAATACTAGACATTCCAAATATTGCTAAACATTTCTAAAAAATATAGCTACAGACCCCATATACATGTTTCAACAGATTTCACAATGTAGTATCTTCAAACTGGAGTAGTTCTTAATTACATATCTTTATAACAAACAAATAAAACAAAATATTTTTGTCACCAAAAGTTAGGTTAAAGTTCCGTGTCAAAGTTATGATTATGATGTCATCAAATGCCGTGCCAATAATTGGGTGAAATACCATGCCAACGGAAGGGTAATCATTTTATGCTTAGGATACAAAAATGGCTTGATTGAATGTTTTGCCTACCACTCTAACTATCAATTAAAGAGTATTATAGGTACCGAACATTTTGTTGACATCCCTTGTACATTCCAATAATAACCGTTTACATTTTGTACAATAGTGTTCTAATAGTGAATGATTTTAAATTTCCCCATTCCCAATTGTCCAAATTTAATAAAAAAAAAATTATCTAACAGTTTTCATAAATTCTTTTTCCTAGCGTTTCCGCTACACATTGCCTTTAACTTTGGCACTGGCATTTTCCTAGCGTTTCCGCTACACATTGCCTTTAACTTTGGCATTGCCAAAATGATTTTATTTTAGTGCCAGCCAGAGACACACTTTGTCTAGGGCACCCATGAATTCTTTGGAGTAACATGTGAAAAGGTTTGCAAGAAATTTGGTTTAGATGTTATATTTGGAAAAAAAAATGATGCAATCATATGCGTGAGATGAACTAAAATTTGAGACAACTTGACATATCGATTCATCCTGGAAGTTGTTGTTGGGTTCCGTAGTAATATCTCCCAACAACCCATATGCCTTAACTGTACCAACTAAAACTATGCTATATATCCACAACAGGACCTTCTATTTTTCAAACATTTTTCCTCGGGCATTAACCGAATGACATTACAAATTTGTTACCCATATTCATCCATTGGCAAACAAAGACGATTTGTTTCTATGCCATGCTGGCGTTAGCTGCTGCTGCCGGTTTTTTCTATTTTTCACCTGCATACATGCATGCCATGGCGTTTTTCGTCTTACACCTTAACATGAATACGTCAAGTAATTTACTTTATATCCTGTCCGTTGCTCCTTTTATATGAAGTATTTTTTTCTTCGTTTGTTTATTTGTATGCTCTGAAGGAGTTTTTCTCTACAAAACAACAATCGACGACATAAAAAGTGAACAAGCAAAAATAGCCAACAGGAAACATAGGTCCTTATGTTGTATGTTTTTAATGTGTTTCCTTTGATGTCATGTTCGTTTATTCTTTCCTACTTTTTATTTCGTTGTATCCCTGCCTGGTGCAGTAGTTCCAACTCTATGGAGATTGCAGACAACCGAATAGAGGATGATATTTTACTTTTTTATGACCCTACGACTTCCACTCTCGACTGCTGGGTCTTCCATGCGGTGATGGTGTATGTCTGTGTCCATATTTCTATGACAAGACAAAGAAGCAAAGGCCCACCCTAGTCACCGAGTTGGTTGGTTGGTTGGTGAAGGTGCTTGCAACATTCATATGAACATAGCGATGGATGGTTAACTACCATTTGGCATTGTTTGGAGTTATTTTAGTTTTCCGCGTTGTAACGCCGCATTCTCATTCATGTCATTGGGATTTGCTTTGACCGGGAATGAAAAATGTGTTTTATTTACTTTAGTTTGTCTGGGACATCAATTAAGCCGAGCATAATGTCCACAGACAAAAACAGATGTCATAATTAATTTACAAAGCCTGATTTGAGGAGCGTGGTGAAAGCAAACAAATGCGATTTTTACTGCAGCGGAAGGTAATACAGATAAAATGTTGTGTTCCTACAATATAAATAAATTAGTATAGAATTAATTATGGGTTACTTGTTTGTTTGGGGGTTGTTGTGTTGGTTGTTAATTAAAATGTCATCAAAACGAGTTGTTATTTTGATTTTTACAAACGTGATACAGATTTTAATATCAAGACTTTGAAATTGTTTTAAGAATCTGGGAATAGAAATACCTGATTAAATTTAGCGACAAACTGCTCGGTATGGCTCTCAGTCAATCGATTTACCGATCAGAGAATTTGCCAAACTGTTTATCAGATATTGTATTAGTTCTCAGCTACATTTTAATGGAAGTGGTTCCACGTGATGCTCATATTTCATTTGCATGAGTTCGATGGAAGTTGCCAAACATCCAACATTTCCAACAATCCTTTTTGGTACATATACAAAAACGTCAACAATTTTTTGTTTGTTAAGAACCGTTTAAATTCTTAAAATATTCTAGGAAAAACTAAGAGCCTTCAGTAAAATAGATCGTAAAGGGAAAACTTCATCGGATATCCACTAATAGATCTTCGAGGTTTAATATGAGAATGGGTTTAACAAGAACCGCTGGTTGGATTGGGAAACTGTGACCCATAGCCGAAAAAAATGTATCTGACGTAGAGCTCATACCTTCAATCGGTAGTATATAGGGAGGACATTTTTATAGAACCTACTTTATAGGTAAAATAAGTTTTATAATTTAAAGACTTCAGACCAAATGAGAAGATTTATAGCACATTTTTAAATAGAAAGTATTCCTTAGCTTTTCAAAATTGTCCTTCTCTGCTGTATGTCCAAAAACTATCCAAGCTTTCCAAAGATTTCGACATTCGATAGCATTTTTCAATCGTCCGCGAAAGCCACAGCTAACTGCGACAAAATGAAAAGTGAAACCAAGTCCTCAAGACGCTAGTCAGCAGCACTTGGAGTGCGCTTATAAAGCGATACGTCGGTCTGTGATCAGCTATCCCGCCCAGTGTGGTCTGCGAATATAAGTGCTACCCAGTTGAAGGCATTCAGACCTCCTCATGAAACCAGTGGACCATCCACATCAGGAGGCGTAGGTCCTTCCCGTACGTCAGCATAACCATATGCTCTCGTTGCAGCACCTGCTTGGGTGTTAATGTGGGAGTCACTAAAACCATCATATTCTGGATAAAACTCCCCCACCCAGACGTGTTAGGAAAGACATACATGATATAGGGAGGAGAGGCTATAAGAGAAAGCCTCTAGATCAAGAAGCCTGTCAGGTAGGTTTGAGTGACATTCATACTGATGCAGTCACAGGATTGTTTAGTCGTCTCAACTCGTCTTGGGCACGAGTTGGTGGAGATGTGCGTAACGTCTGCCCGGCGCGTTAAACAGGTCCGCACAATATGCTGCCCTATTAAACCTACTCCATTCACTACAAAAGATCTTCGGCTTCATCCCGCAAAAAATGGCCGAATTTTACTACCTGGAACTAGGACCGGGTTAGCAGAAATAAAAAAATACTGTGTAAAACTGTTACAACAACAAAGATCGTATGTCTCTTATTAAGTAGTTGCCTCTCGACCGGGGCCTGATATTTTCTCCTCTGTAGTATTTCCACCATTATATGCATTTCAATGAACAAAACATAATCCGGTTGTACGCAATCAGAGTTTCATCACTGTATTCAGGAAAAAAAAACGATTAAAGAAGCTGTTAAATTAGTGAAATGCCAAGCATTTGGAATTTCCGTTTTATGGAGCTATGTCAAAACACATCTGTTTAAGCAATTTTCTGTCTAGGAGCAGGCACCCATTATGAACTCCAAATAGAAAATTTGAACAATATCCGTTGGGAAATGTGACAAAATATCATCAAATACCGAATTCGTGTGACAACATTCTGCCGAACATATTAGCATTCCTAAGAACTTTAAATATCCAACTTTAAACAATTCTGGCAACAATCACGTAAAAATATCTGATATATATAACCAACAATTTTAGTCATCTAGGTCGACACGACGACGGGTATGTTTAAATCGTCGCAACAACTCTTGTTTAGTAAAAAAAAATCATTTGAAAGCTAATAAAAAATACCTGTCCAACAATTGGTTATTAAAGACACTGCGGAATTGTATCAAAATAATTTATTTTCTGAACCTCGGAAAAGGCCCTATTTGGGGAGTACACAAAGTATATGCCAAATTATAGCTTACACCCCAAATATCGAACGTTATTACTAGAGTTAAGCCGAACCGAAATCATGTGGACACTCGAGCATTTCCATAAGCTTTAAAAGGAATACAAACATTGTCTAGATGTGTTAGGTTACTCGGTTCTGTTACCCAAGGAGTATTTCATTCCTGATATAAGGTTAAAAATATATACCTCTCGTTTATCTACCTTCTTCTTCGGATGTGATGTCTTTAAGGAGTGTCGACGTCCACAAGAATTTGTTTTGTTTGAAATAATTATTTTTGCTGGTCCCAGAAATGAAAAGCTTATGAAGTAGACACTTCTGTGTTATATTTCGCCAACAAAGTTCTAATGCAATGATTTTAAGGTAAATGTAGTAACAATACCAATTGAATAGATATAAAATGACGGTTTATATAAATATTCATCTTACCTTCTTCTTTTAAACTCAAATAATCAAATAAATCACCCAGCATTTTAATGTTCCTTTCTTTACAAGATTTGGCGTCAGTTAATTCAATTTTTAGGTTATTTTTTGCACTGATTTACTTTTGACTTCCAATCAATTATCTCCAATGAAATTTTAATCTATAGACAAATTCAATTATCCATTCACTTATTCTATAGACAAGGATACTTATGCATGCAAAATGTTTTTAGTTATATTCTTATATTTCATTTTCTTAAAGAAAAATTAAGAAATGTTTAATTTCGAACCGGTAAATTCATTGTAAAAACTGTTTTTTCATTCGTTTGTTGATCATTCACAATAGACGTTTTATTTCGTTCCGTTTCATAGGAATGTGTGAGAACGGTATCACACCCACAATTGTCTAAGTTGGAACTGACAACACTCTAAAGGGTGTAATAAGTATTGCCATATGAAACAATACGCAATTAACAATTTAACTAGATTTTTGAAAACTTTGTTTCAGAACTGCAGTAATGTAAAAAATGTTGTTACAATAAATTTTTATTTATTATTTTTGAGCAGAAAATATTTGGTAGTAACTCTGTGCCGTGCGAAAATCATCCAGTTTTGCAACTTTTTACTCAAAATGTGTTTCGCAACAAAAACAACAGTACAACTTAAAAGAGAGCAAACTGCTAATTTATTTTATTATCTTACAATTTAAAAATGAATTAATTTTACTGACACATGTCGAGCGTAACAATTTCATTATTGAACAAAATTCTATTTTGACAGAATCCAAATTTTCCGGTCTGTTGAAAATTAAAAACAAGCAATATGTCTACGATCAAGGGTCTCTCAAAGATGATTATTTTTAAAGGCTACAATGATTTTTTAGACTTTCTCTCAGTTCTTGCATTTTACAACATGTAAGCATTCCTTTAATCCATTCCTACAGGAAGTCAATCGGACATTCTTATGATATGCACATTCTAAGAATTTTTACAAATTTTAATAATTTTTCTTTAAAAAATTGACAGTTCATTGTCCTAGCAGCTGTGTCGACGCGACTACCTGCATTCTTCTACCATGCTTTAAGCATAGCCCATTTAAAAACGCCAACCTCATTAAACGTCTTCTTCCATGAGCCATTGTTTTCTTCTTTGGCAATGCTTTTTACATGCAGAAACAATTGATTTGGAACAAAACAATAAATACTATGACGTCATGAACACTTGTTGATGGGCTGTGTTCAGTAAGCATGTAAATTGTTACCACATTCAAATGTGCGGCGCAGGCGTCAATAAAAAGATGTCAATAATTGCAATTTGCTTTTAAATTTGAATTGATTTATTTAAATAAAAAAACATTTAATTTGAATTTTGTTTTAAACAACTCTTTTCTATCCTTCGCATTTTATTTTGTATAAACAAAACATTTTCTCTCCCATCAACTGCATCTGGCAACTCTAACCCATCGATTTGTTTTGTTTTGATGTTTAAGCCTGACACAGAGTTTCATTTCCACTCTGTCTCAAGCCCATCATTTGAGGGCGTAGTTCGGACAAGTGTCATTTTCATTCATTCATTCATCCATTCTTTAATTAGTCAATACGGGCGAAAGCAAAGTGGCGTGTATTTGTTGAGTTTTTAACTATTTTTTGTATGTTTGTTTAATTTAAATCCTTTTTACATTATTTGTGTTATTTATTAATAAGAATACAGAAAGTGCTCACCATTGTTCGCTGTTCCAACAGTTGAACAATGTTTTTACAAAGTGCTCTGGGCAAGAGCTTGTTGCTCTTCGTCTTGGTGTTGGCTGTAGGTGTGTTCGCCCAATTCGAGTGGCAAGCTAGAGATGCCTTTGATGAAATCAAAATTAAATATGACAAAGTGAATGGCGACAATTGTCCTATACAACATGTTAGCGATTTGTATTTGCCAGAGGATACGGTGTCCCATAAACCAGATATTAAGGAGATCAATATAAATCCCATATTTCCAAATCGTACCGCACTGCTGCATTTACACAACATGGCTTTGAGTCGAAGTTTCTTTTGGAGTTATATTTTACAATCGAGATTTATCAGACCAGCCATAAATGATACCTATGATCCTGGTATGATGTATTATTTCTTGTCAACGGTGGCAGATGTTTCAGCAAATCCCTACATCAACGCTTCGGCCATATACTTTGCACCAAACAGTTCATACACTTCCTCATATCGTGGCTTCTTCAACAAGACATTCCCCAGGTTTGGCCCGCGTACCTTCCGCCTGGATGATTTCAATGATCCCATACATTTGCAAAAAATTTCCACCTGGAATACATTTGATGTACGGGATTTGGGTGCCCATCCACCAGAATCGAAATCGAATGACTACTCCTCAGATCTGTATAAAATAAATGAGTGGTATAGAAAATGGTTACCCGACGATGTGGAGGGACGACATGACACCAAGACAACATATCAAGTGGAAATTCGCTATGCCAATAATACGAATGAAACCTTTACATTCCATGGTCCACCCGGAGCTGATGAAGATCCTGGTCCAGTGAAATGGACAAGACCGTATTTCGATTGTGGTCGCTCAAATAAATGGTTGGTTTCAGCTGTTGTGCCAATTGCAGACATCTATCCTAGACACACACAATTTAGACATATTGAATATCCAAAGTAAGGGTTTTTGTTTATTTTTCGCACATAGACAAGTTATTTATTCTTTCTTTCCTTTCTGTTTGCAGATACACTGCCGTTGCTGTTCTTGAAATGGACTTTGAAAGATTAGATATAAATCAATGTCCCAAAGGCGAGGGTAATAAAGGACCAAATCATTTTGCCGACACGGCTCGATGTAAAAAAGAAACCACAGAATGTGAACCATTACATGGCTGGGGTTTCAGGCGGGGTGGTTATCAATGTCGATGTAAACCTGGCTATCGATTACCAAATGTTGTGAGGCGACCGTACTTGGGCGAAATAATTGAAAGAGCTTCAGCTGAACAATACTACAATGATTATGATTGTTTGAAAATTGGATGTAAGTGTGAAGACATAGAAGATGAAGAAAACCGCAAAGTTGGCCTTGTGGCGAAACAGAACATTTTTTTAATACTTTTTCTTCCTTTTTTCAATTCCGTTTTGAATACAGGGGTGCAAAAAGTCCCCATACAATGGGAAAGGGCCCCATACCATATACGTGAAAAGTACTTGGACAAACATCCGGAATATCGTAACTATACAACTGGTGCTGCTGCCCTACATTCGGAAAATTTAAATATTGATCAGGCATTGAAGTTTATACATGGCGTCAATTACAAGACATGCAAAAAGTGAGTAAAAATGTGGAATGAGAAAATGCATCGCATTTAGACAAACAAAAACTGCTGACAAAACATGAAGGGAAAGGCTACAAACGGACGGTCCGACCATGTAATACCCTACAATATTATAATTTACGATAAAATCCTTGGAAAAGAATGAACGAATTTCCCAATATCTTGGTATACATATAATTAGACTACTTAAAAAATCATTCGAAATTTCTAGGTCGGCGTGTAATGTTTGAAGGGATGTTTATAGGTAATGTGTTCTTTTTAAATATAAAAACAGGTGTTAAAACTCTGGGTAATTCCAAAGAGTCACTGGCCGATGCATCGGGTAGCGAGACCGGTGCAATGGTGCATCATGGTTAGAGCCGTCAGGCCAGAATCATTTAAAACCCCCTCGACTTCATTAAACTCCTTAGAGCTAGAAACAATATTTTTCGAAGCGAAAAGATTACAAATTACATTTTCAACTCATTTTTCCAAGAATAATAAAGATTTTGTACATTTCATGTTTATTTTTTAATGATTTTGGTCCGTTTCATTCTTAAATAATGTCATATAAAAAGGCTACCTACAACAACGAAATCGGCATCGATTAAAAGGTCAGAAATGCCCGACGACATCCAAAATGGTTAGACTTCAGTCTTGTCAAAAACTCTAACTCCACGCATAATTCCGCGTTGATTGATCCATAATTGTGACTTATATGTCTCCAATAACAATAGCCTTTTATTACGACCTTAAACATAGCTCTATGCAAAATTTCGTGGAGATCAGATCATAAAAGCGACCTGTAGAGTGACTACAAATTACACACACAGACAGACACACAGATAAACCGACTCTTCTTGGCGATATAGGATCGTGCCAATGTTTCGAATTGTTAGAAATTCGTCTGCCCAGTCAACGTTATCTATACAATTTCCACTGATTTGTTAAAAGTCCAAGAAGTACACAATTATCTACGACGAAATCGTAGACATTAAAAGAACATGAAATTTACGGATTTTTTACGACAAATAATTTCTCAGTATTAAACTAAAACCTCATTATAGTTAACAGAATTTAATCTACTCCTTTCTTTTATAGCTTCCATCCACAGGACTTGATTTTACGCGGAGATGTTAGTTACGGTGCTAAGGAACAATTCGAGAATGAAGCTAAAATGGCCGTGCGTTTGGCTAATTTTATTAGTGCTTTCCTACAGGTATGTCCCATAACTTCTAAGCAATAATGCAATAAGCTACAACGCTTAAGTTTTGTCAGTAATTATTGGTTTCTTTTGATGTAGTGCTTAGCATGTGGATCGGTTATGATTTACAAGAAACCGAAAAAACTTCAAACCTTTCTTCTACAAAAAATCGCATGTCATTTGAAACTCCAAAAAAGGAATATTAATGATTTTATCACCTTTTCTTATGCATCATCGAAAGTTGCCCTTCAAAAAGCAAAACCTCTCCAGAAGTGTTAATGAAAATTATTTACGCCTCATAAAGGAAAGACAACTGCGCTGCTCTATAATTCATTTTTGTTTCTTCCTCCTATACTAATCTCATGTTCTACAACTTGTTTCTATGGCAAGACAAAGTTCATAGAAACAACAGGCAGTCAGACAGACAAACGGCAAACCTATGGTCGACAAAATTGCACAAAATTCAGTGTCAAATGATTTTTTTTGTTCACGAAACTAATAGAATGGATACTAGAAAAACTAGTTGAAAAAATAATTTTATTTGCACAAGTTGTTAAATATTCGCCTAGGTAAATATGATACAGGAAATATATTTTCCCATTTTATCAGAAGAAATAATAGCAGCAGCAGCAACAACAACTGCAGCGAGTAAACGACACTAAAAACCAAAATTTACAAATTAAGATCCTTTAAAAAATAAGCATACACACAACTTGCTAGGCAGCAAGCAAAACTTGTTGCTTTCCACATGTTTCAACAAGTTTTTTTTTGTATTTCCTGTATGCTTGATAATACTTGTCTATATACACATGCAGCATTCCTCATATTCTTTATTTATTTTTTTTTTTTCACTTTTCCTAGGTCTCCGATCCCAATGAAGTATACACGGGCAAACGTGTGGCCGATAAACCACTTACCGAAGATCAAATGATCGGTGAAACATTGGCCATTGTTTTGGGTGACACAAAGGTTTGGTCGGCTGCCACACTTTGGGAACGTAATAAATTCACAAACCGTACCTACTTTGCACCCTATGCCTATAAGACTGAATTAAATACACGCAAATTCAAACTAGAAGATTTGGCACGTCTCAACAAAACCCATGAACTCTATACGGAAAAGAAGAATTTCAAGTTCTTGAAACAGCGGTGGTCGACCAACTTTGATGACCTAGAAACGTTCTATATAAAGATGAAGATACGCCAAAATGAGACAGGTGAATATCTGCAAAAGTATGAACACTACCCCACTTCATATCGAGCAGCTAGTTTGAAGCATGGCTACTGGTCTCAACCGCAATTCGATTGTGATGGTTATGTCAAGAAATGGCTTGTGACCTATTCGGCACCCTTTTTCGGCTGGGATAGCATCAAAGTGAAACTGGAATTCAAGTGAGTATTGTTATGTTAATGAAATGGGCGCATGGGCAATGTCAGAATTTAAAAAGGGGATTCTTCTCTGCAGTATTTAGGTGAAAATGAGTACATTTATTTTTTGTATTGTGTTTTTCTAGCTGTTGATAAAGTCATCCCTAATTAACATGTTTTGCCTATTTGTCTATTTAATGCGGGTCCCCTTTATCGCTTTGAAAAGGGGCCAGTTGTTTAATGGGGTTGATTTGATTGTCCTATGCGGCTTTTGCCAATTTGTTTTCTAGTCTTGTCTTCAATTACCACTTATTAGTTGTACAAGACCCATAAAAGTATAATCGCGCATTTATGTCATAACGGGTTGATTCCCTTCCCTTCGTGGGAAAATGTTTTGTTGTTTTTGTTCTTATATTGTTGAAGTGTTGACATTTTATTATAACTTATGACTTTTATTTAGAAAATTGGGGATTAGAAAACAGGGAAAGGGTTGTTGAGGAGTATATGTGAATCAAGGCCAATTTGAAAAGGTCGCACAAAAGGCGAATTCATGCCTTAGTCTTCCTTTGCTTCCCAAAAGAAGAAAACTCTGAATAGTATGTTGTAAACTTACATTTACATTTCAATTTCGTATATTTTTATTTGGGTTAAAAATAAATATTTATGATATACTTGTATAAAGTTATCGGCATGGGTATATATAATTTGATATGGCAAAAATATGTGCCTATCTGTGCACACAATGACCCTTGAAGAAAGTATTCAAAATCGTAATTCGTAATATTTATATCGACTTTAAATCGAGTTCAGAGATTGGCAAAATCTGTATATTCCTTACTTCCCTCACAACAAGGTCAACATTTTCAAAGGAAATAATTATTCCCTCAGCCGTATGGCTACTGTTGGAATATATCATTTATTTATTTATCTATTTATCTAAAACTTATGGTGGGAGTCATTATAGAGTCATGAGACCTACTGCAGCCGCTGTCAATGAGGAGACTGTAAAATGCTTTTCGGCGTGAGACTTAAATTTTTGGAGGAACAAATAACCCACAATCTTTATTCATTTTCCGATACAGAACCAGCTAATATTCTTCTACTGTCTGGAAGATTATAGCGGCAATAACAACAGGATAGTTGCCAACGAGTTCCTGATCCATACAAATTAGCCATATCTTTTTATTTATATCGAACTTATATTATGTTTGAAAATGGAGTACATAATTATATATTGTTAAATCATAAATCTCCTACATCTCTTCTATCAAATGTTTAACAATTTCAAAGATAGACACTACCAATTATTTTTTCATATTGACTATTTTATCCGTCTTTTGGATGTCATCAATTCTTTATCCAAGCCATCACGAAGTCTTAAATGTTACATCCTCTTCTTTTAGAAATCATAAAGTACCGTTTCCAAGTACTTTTGAAGTTATTTAAAACCTTTTCATGTTTATTAAGGTCCTGTATAATTTATGCACGTCTCTTAGGAGACATAAATAAAATATCAACGTTTTTAGCAAGTCAAAAATACTCTTTCTAATGTTTAACTAATTTATCCACGCAATTTAGATGTCAAATTTAGTTCATCCATGTTTTCTAGAGTGCACAGTGCTTTATCCACGTCATTTTAAGAAGGAATAAGGGTCTAATCCAAGTCATTATCCGCGTCATTGGATAATATTATCTCGGACACCTAGCAAGCTACAATACTTTATCTAAGACATTCAGAAGACAAATGCATTATTCACTTCATTCAGACTACTCGTATACATAGTCCACGTAATTCAGCTGATCATCAGTTTTTTCAACTTTTCTTCATCTTAATATTTTGATTAGAGCATCAATAATAAAAAATAATAAAGAGCATTAATCTGAATTGTCCAAATGACAATTGCATGCTTAATTATAAATTTTATATAGTTAAGATAATGTTTTATTGGTTTTATTAATCTCTTTAATTTTTTTTTTACATTTCAGAGGTGTGGTGCAAGTTTCCATGGATATGATGCAATTGGATATACAACAATGTCCGGATTGGTATTATGAACCAAATGCTTTTAAAAATACAGACAAATGCGATGAGCAAACTTCCTATGTAAGTACATGTTTAGTTAACTTTTCGAAATTCAATAACATTTCCCCCTCATCTTACAGTGTGTACCGATTATGGGTCGGGGCTATGAAACGGGTGGCTATAAATGTGAATGCAAACAAGGCTATGAATATCCATTTGAAGATTTAATCACCTACTATGATGGCCAGTTGGTTGAGGCAGAGTTCCAAAACATTGTCGTTGACAAAGAATCCCGTTACGATATGTTTAAATGTCGCTTAGCTGGTGCATCAGCAATACAAGCAGCCACCTCTTTAATTGTGGCGCTACTTGGATTTACTCTTATTATGCTGTACAAGTATAGATGAGTGACAAAGTGTGAACCACCAAAAAGAAGAGGTAAAACAAAAAGAGAATGCAAAGAAAATATATGTAGTTTTGTAGTATTTTTTTTAAACATTAGAAAATAAGTGCGAATATACAAGAAAACGAATCCGTCCAAAAATCATCTGTGCATTTGTGCAAAAGAACAACTATCTCAAATAACATTGGAGAAAAGCAAAAAAAGGTAAATAAAATACAAGATCAGTTGGTTTGGCAAGTAAACGCAAATAAAACTTGTCACTACTCTCACCATAGCAGTAGACGGCGACTTCCTGCCTAACTCTTTAAATACTTTATAAAAACCGAATGACCACAAGTAGATCAAATGAATGTTGAGTCAAAGTTATTCACGTATTTGTTGTTGTTACTTTATTCAAAATCTCCTTTTCTTTATACATAGAGAAAACATTGTCATCATTTATCCAAAGCGATTAAGTTGTAGACACAATCTATTACAATGAATCTCATTATTTGTCATGGACTTAGGATGTGTGTGTGTGTGTGTGTGTGCTCCCAAGAAGTGGTCTTCCAAGGCATCATATAACTTTTGATCAAAGTTATACACACTCTATTGCTGGCTGCTGCTACTGCTGCTGCTTGATGATGATAAACTCTCATGGCAGACAATAAAGAATGAGAAAATACAACGCCTCTCTTTATAGCTCATATTTCAGTTGTATTCCTTTTTGCGCACAAAAAGGGCAACAATATTTTGAAAAAAGTACAAAACGGAAATTCTTTCATTGAGAGAGCTGGAGGTAAACACCCAACTCTCAGTATATTGGTGGTGCTCTGGCTGCTAACTGGCTTGGATGAAGCTACAAAATCTGTTTTTAATATCCATGAAGTTTTGCTTTTGAATGGACGAACGAACAGCTGTGTAGTTAGCTGCTCGTGAAACTACAACCACAAAAGGAGAATGAAAAATAGAAAACCTGTTAAATCAAATGTTCCAAAAAAAAAAGTATTTGAGATTGCCAGGCAGCAAGCAATCTTACGCAGACACACAAGATTTTATTTGGATAGAGCACCGCAGTGACAACCTTGAGTGAGAGCAGAGAGGGTTGATTTGTTGGTACCTTCTTGGATTTGCACCCTTTCCATAATGGTCACATTTCTTTTAATGATCAGCATCGTCGCCGGCACTACCACCCATTTAGTTCATCTTGACCATTAAGAAATTTCATATCATTTTATGCGTGTCTGTTTTGTTTTTGTGCATTAATTTCGAACTTCCTCGATTAGAATGAGGGAAACAGATTGGAATGGGGGTTTCTTTTTTTATTATGAACTGAGGTACACTTATTTTTTTAGATAGGCCTGTGTGTTTATTGTTGTACCATCATTTGATGATGATCATCATGATTTTTTTCTGCTGCCTTATCTTAGCCTGAGAACTTTTTTGCCTCTTGGAGATTCTTTTGCATAAAACCAGTTTACCACTTGGTCTTGGTCATTTGCAATGTTGGAAAAAATGTCTCTACAGAATTTTTTTCATTCTGAATCTTCCTTCCTCCAGCAAAAAAGGGTATCAAATAAAAAAAATATGTGGTACCAGTAATAGTAGAGGAGTATATAAAAACGCCGACTGCCAACTGCTATCTTCCTGGATGTTTGTTTCAAAATATTTTCACACATTTTTCATCGTCAGTCTAAAAGACAAGACACTGTCAGACAGACAGCCTGCCGGCAAGCATGAATATAAGCACCAATAGAGCCAACCACTCTATCATCCATAGAGTGACCAATATGTAAAAACAATGAACCCTCTATTGTTGGGCAGCCTTCGAAGACAATAGAAATCTTTAAGATTTTTAATATGAAAAAATTAAAGGAGGAACTCCTGCTGTTTCATTTTTCTATGTTTTTTCTTCTTCTCCATTGTGCCGCTCTTCAAACGGTTTTTTCGGTTTAAATTTAAATTTTATACTCGTCCCCTTGCCAAACTGTTGCTGATCTTGTAATGAATTTTGTTTGTTTTTTTTTTTCTCCAAATGTTAATTAAAATACCGTCCATTTTTTGTGTTTAGAAATTGTTTATTTTATTATTAAAAATATTATTGTAGCAAAGTTATATAACTCTTTAAATGACCATATGTGTGCCTTGTATTTAAAATTAATTAATATTCTACATGTCCCATGGGAAGTTGTCTGTGCCTTACTACAAAATTTCTTCCCATAATCGATTTAGAATTGTTATGTTGACCGATGAATTTTTTGTCTATATGTTTTGTAGAAGAAATTATATTTAGGCATATTTTACATATAATAATATAAAACACAAATTTTTTATATACATTCAAAAAAAAAATATATATATATATATTTTTTTACTACAATAATAAGAACCAATCAACATATCGCAATAAAAGTTATTTTTAAATATAAACCAGAATAAAAATGTTTTATTGATTGTAAAATAAATGTATTTTTTCTATGGCATACAATGTTTGTGTGTTAAAAAACTAATATCAAAACAAAAAGCAAACACTTGAAAAAAAGGATGAAATAAATATAGAGTATTAAAAAATTTATATTGTTTAGAATGTTTGTTGATGCAGAATCCTGTACAGTCTAAAAGTTTGTTCCAATCGTGGTGTGGAATATTATCCGTGACTTAGACGAGGGAAAGTGAGCTTTCTGAATCTTCAGAATATGTAAAATGATATTCGGTATTCCATTTTAAGGTCAAAAATATAATTTAGAAAATTTAATTTACAATTAAGTAGCCTATAATTTATACTTGCTGTTGTGGTATTTCCATTGTTGTTACGAGGTTTGGTAACAGTGTTTGGACCACTTCGTTATAAATTGTTTGCACAGATTCCCACAAGGACGTAGGATCTATAATATGCTGGAGATTACAAACATGTACTTACAACTGGATATTAGCAGGAAAAATTTAGCACACACAAAACACTGTTTATTTTGAGTAAACCAACCAACTTCAGACATCTGCCATTTCTAAGCCACCCGTCCGACAGCTGTTAAAATTATTCCAGTGACAGCTCATTATAATGTTTACATGCGTGCAAAAGTATTATGGTGAGAATTTTCCAGAAAAAAAGTTATTCGTGATGGAATTCAAGCGTGATAGTGTGATTTCTTTATATTTGGCTGGAAAACCACAAGTGGCTATCGTTAGAGCACTCCAGAATTTAATTGTGAATAAATCTTTTGTGTCTCGTACCATCGCTCGTTACCGTTATACTGGTTGCGTAGGCCGACGTCAAGGAAGTGGACGGAAGAAACCAGCAACATCAGCAGAAATGGTTCGAAAAGTAAAGAAGCGACTTGATCGAAACCCGCGTCGCAGTGACCGAAAAAATGGCTCATGACCATGAGCTGAACATATCGCAATAATCCATTCGCAAATATTGGAAAATGAATTCGTGTAAAGCCATTGAAATTCAAAAAAGTGCAAGAACTTCCACCGTAACAGATAGAAAATAGACTCAAAAGAGCTAAAGAGTTGCTTCGCTTGGTTGAAAGTGATGAACTGCGGAATTTGGTTTTCTCCGATGAGAAAACATTCGTTGTCCAGCAGTTTGTAAACAAAGTGATCGTGTTTACTTGCCAAAGAGGTCAGCTGAAAATGTACATCTTCGGTTGGCCACCAGAGCTCAAGCGCCTACCATGGTGATGCTGTGGGCGGGCATAACAGCCGATGGTCGCTCTCCGCTCGTAATAATCGACCGTGCCATCAGAATAAATGTCGAATATTATCGTAAAAATATTCCAAAAAGGTTTAAAAATCCTAGGGCATGCAAAAATTTTGGTTGCAGACCTTGAACATTCCAACATGTCTCAGCACCATAGAACTCAGCACGCACCACCCAAGAACGGTTACAAAATGAGGTTCCTCGCTTCATTTCCGGCGCACAATGGTCACCAAAATTTCCGGTAACCAATCCGTTGGACTATTGTTTCTGCAGTATTTTTGAAAGCAAGGTTGGCACTAATAGACTGCTCGATCACCTCAAACAAGCGCTTCGCCGGGAATGGGCCAAAATACCACAGAGCAACATTTGGACAGAGTGTGACGGTTTCATTGGCCGTTTGAAGGCCATAATTCGTGGCAAAGGTGACCAATTCGAACAAATCTAAACTTATTCTAAAATCTGATGATATTTCCGACATTTTTACTTTCATTCAATAAAATTAAAAAAAAAAATGTAAAAATGATGGCTTTTGACTTTGTTGCAGTTTTTTTTATCTCACCCTGTATTTACCGAAATTGTTTCAAGTTTCGTATTTGAAGTTGGGAATCGGTGCTGCAACCTATGACAGAAATTTCGTATGCTGGTCCACGTCCTCGTATAGCTGGCTGGCATTGAAATCGAAAATGATCACATCATAGCTTAAAACAAAAGACCATTCACTTTTTTATAGAAGCAAGATCTTCGAAGGCCTTCCAAATGACATAAGGCTGTTTTTGGCACGGAATTACTCTAAAAGTCTTATACGGGACAAAACGTCTGTAAATTTCTTCTAAGAGTTTCTAAATGAAATGCATTTGTAAGGTCTTCTGTTTGACGCAAAGCCTTCTAAATGTCTGCTATGGAAAAGAAAGCCTTCTTTAATGGGACACAAGGCCTACCAAAATTTCAACGGTCTTCTAAAGGACGGAAGTCTTTCTAGGGCAAAAAAGTCATTCTTGAGGGTTTCTATAAAAACAAGGTTTTTGGAATGTCCTTTGACGTTTTGCTTTTAACTTTTTTATCACAAAAGTTCTCGTAAAAAATGTATGTATCTTATAGATGATTCTCTCACTAACCGTATTCTATTGGGCACAAGTTTTCTAAAGATTCTCTAAAGAAACAATACAAAATTAATAGAAATTAAATTACTTACCATATTTTTTGTTCATTTTGCTCATCATTTTGTTTGTTTCAAAGGTCTTTGTTTTAATCTTGCAATTGCCTCTGAACACCAAAAATTCTCCAAAAATTTTCTGTAAAACTTGACTGTGATAAAAGTTCAAGATGATTTCTTTCCCCCAAAAGCAATATTTGTTTCTTTTGATTTTATGCAATATGTAATAAGTTCAATAGAGATTTTTTAGTTAAATTTGAAATTCAATTTGCAAAAAGTTTGAAATTTTTATAAAGAGTTTTCTTTTGTTGTTGAAAAATTTCCAAGTGTTTTTTTTTAATAGATATTCAATTTAATTTTTCATTGACATATGTATTCCATTTGAGACACTTATTTCAAAGCAATATAGATCGAAGTTCTGCAAAGTGTTTCGTTTAAAGGAGGAGAGCCACATATAAAAAATATCAGGCTCTTACAAAAATGGTTGCGTACGGTTTTATTCAATACAGAACTAAAATACATATACAGGGTGAGATAAAAAATGCAAACGCCATATTTTTTAAACCTTCTTTTTTTATTGAATAAAAGCAAAAAAATGTCGGAAATAGCATTAAATTTTAGAATAAGTTTAGATTTGTTCGAATTGGCCACCTTTGGCACGAATTATGGCCTTCAAACAACCAATGAAACCGTCACACGCTGCCCGAATGTTGCTCTGCGTTATTTTGGCCCATTCCCGGCGAAGCGCTTGCTTGAGGTGATCGACACTTGGGTATTTTTTAGTGCCAACCTTACTTTCCAAAATACTCCAGACATAATCGGCCCTATTACGGTCCTCGTCGCAAAATGAGTTCGAGGCGACAATAATGATATTAGGTTTGTCGTTTTTTTTTTGATAGCGACAAATGATTGGTACTATCACGATATCGTATAGCCCCCATACAACGGTACCCCCCGATATTCGGTATTTTGATGATTTTACCCACATTTTTCAACGGAATTGTCTGAAAATCCACACAAGGAGTACCTTATGGGTACTGTATACCTTGGAAGAGAATTATCTATATAGGTCCACGATATCGTATAGCCCCCATATAACAGTACCCTCCGATATTCGGTATTTTGATGATTTTACCCACATTTTTCAACGGAATTGTCTGAAATTCCCCACAAGAAGTTCCTTGTGACTACTTAATACCTCGGAAGAGAATTATCTATATAGGTCCACAATATCGTATAGCCCCCATATAACGGGGGTTTCGATCAAGTCGCATCTTTACTTTTCGAACCATTTCTGCTGATGCTGCTGTTTTCTTCCGTCCACTTTCTTGACGGCGGGCTACACAACCAGTATCACGGTAACGAGCGATGGTACGAGATACAAAAGATTTATTCACATTTAAATGCTGGAGTGCTCTAACCATAGCCACTTGTGGTTATCCAGCCAAATATAAAGAAATCACCCTATCGCCCTTGAATTCCATCACGAATAACTTTTTTCTGGAAGATTCTCTCCAAAATGCTTTTGTACGATTGTAAACAATATGATGAGCTGTCACTGGAATAATTTTAGCAGCTGTCGGACGAGTGGCCTAGAAATGACAGCAGTCTGAAGTTGGTTGCAGTTTTTTCATCTCACCTTGTATTGTACCTATTTTGCTACGTATCCCATATCTTGGCCCTAACTCTAATTCCATGCAAAATTCCGATTCGATTTGTTCATAATTGGGGCCTGTTGAGCAAAAATCTGGTAATTTTTCTGTTTTGGTCCATTTCAAACCCTAAATATTTTCCGATTACCTCTAAAAACAATAGACTTCTATTCTGAATCTAACCCCACCTCCATTTCTGATTACAAATTAACATGGGCAGACGGTTGGACATACATAGCTTGAACGACTCAGCTCGGCGAGATAGGGAAGATCCATATATAGTTTCCTATGTCGGGACCAATATTTCGAGTTGTTAATAAAACACTATTTTATAGTTCATTTCATATTTGTAATGAGATTGACTATAGTTTCAATTTATTCGATTTCTTATTTTTTTCTGTATTTTTTATTATTATTATTTTCATGAGTATTCATAATTTGAGTAATGGGTATTCCTTAAAATTTAATTTTTTTTCTTAGTTCGAATTCAATTACTTTTGCAGATCTTAATTCATAAATAATTAAAACAATTCATTCTTACGTTAATTATCATTACAATTATTACTAAAAAATAACAATTAACATTTGTGTTCAAATTTTTAAAATAAACGAATAGTAATTCCAAATTATCACAAATCAGTTATTAATGGTTGTTGTTGTTCTCTTTACGTCCTTGTTGTTGTTGTTGTTTTCATTCTAAAATTTATTTATAGTTTTAGATAGTAGTAACATGTATTAATTTTGTTTTTTTTTCTTTTATAAAATATTACAATTGCATTTTACAAATTAACAGTTATTGGTATTTGTGAATATTAATAATTGTCTAACATTTAATATAATTTCCTTGCTTATGAAAATTAATTTAAAAAAATGTAACAATAAAATTGTGTGTTAACAATTGAAACTTTAAATTTTCAATAAATTTTGGTTTTTTGTTCATTTGATCATTTCAGATAAATTACAGTGTTTTGTGGGGTTTTTATTTAATATTGACCTCTTTGATTACCAACGTTTTTTTTTTCATTAATATAATATAATTTTCTTTTATTTTTTTAAAATGAAAGTTATAGAATTGTTTTAAATATAGCCTTATAATCATAAATCCCATGCATAGTGAACGTAGAAATCGATCGATTGAAAAATATGGCCAAAATCCACGTAATAATTATAATGAAAATTTAAAAATGTTTTTCATGAACCACAATTGAGGATATTTTTTCACGGTACATATGAGGTATGAAATTTCTTTTATTCCAAGTTTAACAATGAAATTTGAAATAGAATATTTCTTCCTTTGGAACCATTCGCAATTAATGAAGTATTATGGGAGATTTTGTCTTAGAATGGAAACTGGATATGTTTAAACAAGTAAAAAACTTTGAATACCCTCCAAGATTTGGAACGTATTTGGAATTTTTCAAAAAATAAAATCCTTTAAAAATTCTGTTAAAATCTTAAAAATACTGAATGTAGCCATTATATTAGGGTCTATGCGATGACGTGGACCTGTACAAGCAATTTTTGTCATAAGCCATTACAAAATTCAAATGCAAAACTTGAAAAAAATTCGGTGAATAATGTAGCTAAAATCATCAAAATATCAAATATAGGAAGATGCCGTTATATGAGGGTTATACGAAGGCGGCGACCTGCACAGACAATTTTCTGTCATAGGCTGTAGTATCCATTACGAACTTCAAATACCAAATTTGAAACAATTCCCGTGAATAATGTCGCTTAAATCATCAAAAAAACAGAAAATCGGGAGATACCGTTATATGGGGATATATAAAAACAAGGACCTGCACAGACAATTTTCTTTCATAGGCTGTAGTATCCATTACGATCTTCTGGTACCAAATTTGAAACAATTCCGATGAATAATGTCGCTAAAATAATGAAGGCGTGGACCTGAACGAACAATTTTCTGTCTTAGGCTGTAGTATCCATTGCGAACTTAAAATACCAAATTTGAAACAATTCCCGTGAATAATGTCAATCAAAAACCGAATATCAGGAGATACCGTTATATGGGGGGTATATCAAAACGAGGACCTGCACAGACAATTTTCTGTCATAGACTGTAGTATCCATTTCGAACTTCAAATACCAAATTTGAAACATATCCGGTGAATAATATCGCTAAAAGAATCAAAATACCGAAAAAAGGGAGGTACCGTTATATGGGGGCTACATCAAAACATGGACCTACATGGTCCATTTTCGATACCAAAAGTCCTGCAGAAATAATTTACATTTGAGTAAAAATTTTATCAACTTACTTTATTTCGTTCAGAAGCTAGAGTGATTTCCACAGACGGACAGACATCGTTAAATCGACAGAGTTTTTTATACCCTCCACCTTGGAAAGGAGGGTATATTAACTTTGTCATTCCGTTTGTTACATCCTTAAATATTCGTCGTAGACCCCATAAAGTATATATTCATAATCAGCATAAAATTCTAAGTCGATTTAACGATGTCCGTCTGTCTTTCCGTCTGTCTGTCTGTCTGTTGAAATCACGATACAGCCCACATTGTTTGACGTAGAGCGCCAAAATTTAGCAGAGCAATTGGTATTGTGTCTAGGATGGTTGATATATCGGTCCACGTTCTGGTATAGTCCCCATATAACGGTACCTCCCGATATTCGGTATTTTGATGATTTAGGCCACATTTTTTCACGGATTTGTCTGAAAATTGGTATTTGTAGGACATAACGGGTCCCTGTACGTGTGGCAAAACATTGCATGTATAGGTCCACGTTTTGGTATATCCCCCATATAAAGGTACCTCCCGATATTCGGTATTTTGATTATTTTTGCCACACTTTTTCACGGATTTGTCTAAAAATTGGTATTTGTTGGTCATAATGGTTTCCAGCTCCGGTGGCGAAACATTGCATGTATGGGTCCATGATTTGGTATTGCCCCCATATAACGGTACCTCCCGATATTCGGTATTTTGATGGTTTTTGCCACATTTTTTCAGTGATTTGTCTAAAAATTGGTATTTGTGAGTCATAATGGGTCCTAGTTCGGGTGGCGAAACATTGTATGTATAGGTCCACGTTTTGGTATAGTCCCCATATAACGGTACCTCCCAATATTCGGTATTTTGATGATTTTTGACACATTTTTTTACGAATTTCTCTGAAAATTTGGTAGTTGTAGATCATAATGGGTCCCAGTTCGTGTGGCTAGTCATTGTAATTATAGGTCCACGGTTTGGTATAGCCCCCATATAACGGCACCTCCCTATATTCGGTAATTTGCCACATTTTTTTCACGTATTTGTTTGAAAATTGTTATTTGTAGGTCATAATGGGTTCTAGCTTTGTTGGCGAAACCTTGCATGTGTAGGTCCATGATTTGGTATAGCCCCCATATAACGGTACCCTCCGATATTCGGTATTTTGATGGTTTTTGCCACATTTCTTCTAATGTTATATGGGTTCACTGTTGTCCATTGTATCTTTTATACAAAAATTAAAAGAGTATTCCCGGTGATGTTTCTTTTTTCAATTTTTTTAATATAAGAAAAATGAGAAACTTTGCTTAAATTTTATTTTAATATTTGTTGGTTTCATTGTATGTGTGAAATCATTTTTTTAGTATTCTTTGGGTTTCTCTATTATTTAAATCAGTTTTAATATTCTTAATAATAAACATTGATTCTTTTAAAGACGAATATTTTTTAAAACATTGTTTAAATTTTCATCCACAATCTTACTAACTTCGAATGTTTTTGTATTTATTTTTTTTAATTTGATAATAATTGCCTGGATTTGTATGGATGTGTGTGTGTGCTTATTTCAATACTTTTTTTTTACTTAAATTACGATACAATTTATTGTCCCTGCCGCCGACGCCATATTAAATGGTTATAAAGCCAATCAGGGACTTAATGAGCATTGCAGTTGTCCGCGCTGCCATTGCCGTTGCCTCGCCATCTGCGGGATTAGTCGGTGGCCGCATAATAAACCACTGTAGATTTACGACGAAAACCCAAATTGAAAAATGATGTTTCAGATTTTTTACGTTCATGTTCGTGATCATTGCCAAAATATGAAAATAAACGGCCACCACCACTGCCAACTGGAGGAGCACGTATGCTGCTGCTATGACTGTTTGTAGCATGGTGCACAGATCCGCCACTACTGCCTCCAATACCAGCCGAAGTTGATCCCACAATACCGGGAATACCAATGCCACCACCACCGCCGGAAGATGAAAGCGATAGGCTTGAATACAAATGACCATGTCCGTGTGGGACATGACCACCATGATGATGATGATGATGGAGGTGGTGTTGTTGCTGCTGCTGATGTCGGCTACTACTGCTGGCGGTTGTAGTTGTTGTACCTGTTGTATTATGATTGCTTTGTTGCTGTAGAAACCCAGTTGGCGACAAATCAGTCATCTCACACGGCCAGAGGGTGACCGAAGATGGGACCTTATGTATCCCGTCCGATAATCGATAATGGTGGGATGATGACCGGCTAACGAACCGTGGCGAGGACCTCGACCCCATCTATATTTGATGGTTTTACATATTTTTTTGTTTTTTTTTTTGACAGTTTTGGAAATATAAATTAAGAAAAAAAGCAAGTATTAGTAAATCTTGTAGTTATTGTAATTTACAAAAGTTAGTACTCTAAATAATTGCAATAAGATGTTAGAGCCCTAGAAATATATAATAATATGAAATTAAGCATGTTGAAGTAAGCTGTTGTGTTATTTAAAGGATTTGTTGTCAAACGCAAATGGGTACCTTTATGAGACACTTATAAAAGCGTTTTGAAAGTTAATATGGCAGGGTAGGTAGAATAGGGCGGGAAAGTTACAATAATTTTTCAATTTTTGGAAAATGGCATATTTGCAACATTTTACTAACGAGGTGGTGGTAAATGTAATCCTCTCTTCACATTTTGTTGAAATTCTCTCTTCTATTGCGATGTATAAAAGTATACAGGGTGAGATGAAACAACTGCAACCAATTTCAGACTGCTGTCATTTCTAAGCCACATTATTCATTAACATTATTCCAGTGACAGCTCATTATAGTATTTAGAAGCGTACAAAAGCATTTTGCTGAGAATTTGAATAAATCCTTTGTGTCTCGTACCATCGCTCGTTACCGTGATACTGATAGCGTAGCCTGACGTCAAGGAAGTGGACGGAAGAAAACAGCAACATTAGCAGAAATGGTTCGAAAAGTAAAGAAGCGACTTGTAGCCGAAAAATGGCTTGTGAGCTGAACATATCTCAATATTCCATTCGTCAAATATTGAAAAATAAGCTCGGGGTAAAGCCATTGAAATTCCAAAAAGTGCAAGAACTTACACCGCAACGGAAAGAAAATAGACTCAAATGAGCTAAAGAGTTGCTTCGCTTGGCCGCAACGGAAAGAAAATAGACTCAAAGGAGCTAAAGAGTTGCTTCGCTTGGCCGAAAGTGGTGAACTGCCGAATTTGGTTTCCTCCGATGGGAAAACATTCGTTGTCCAGCAGTTTGTAAACAAACAAACTGATCACGTTTACTTGCCAAAGAGGTCAGCTGAAAATGTTCACCTTCGTTTGGCCACCAGAACTCAAGCCCCGGCCATGGTGATGGTGTGGGCCGCCATAACAGCAGATGGTCGCCCTCCGCTCATATTACCATCAGAATATATGCCGAATATTATCGCGAAAATATTATGGATGGTGTGTTAAAGCCTTGGGCACGCAAATATTTTTGCCGCAGATCATGGACATTCCAACAGGACTCAGGACCATCGTACTCAGCACGCGCCACCCAAGAATGGTTACAAAATGAGTTTCCTCGCTTCATTTCCAGCATACAATGACCACAAAAATCTCCGGTATCCGGAGAAGCGTACAGCGTCCATTGGACTATTGTGTCTGGAGTATTTTGGAAAGCAAGGTTGGCCAAAATACCGCAGAGCAACATTCGGACAGCGTGTGACGTTTTAATTGGCCGTTTGGAGGTCATAATTCGTGCCAATGGGGACCAATTCGAACAAATCTAAACTTATTCTAAAATTTGATGCTATATCCGACATTGTTTGCTTACATTCAAATCAAAAATTAAAATAAAAAGTAAAAATGATGGCGTTTGACTTTGTTGCAGTTTTTTTATCTCACCCTGTATATCTAAGTATAATACTTTTTATAAAAATTGCGGTATAAATTTCTGTATTTTATATAGAAATTATTTGTTTACATTTTCGACTGTTGAATTGAAACGTTTCAAAACTTTGTAAAAATCTCCGAAAATCCTAAATTTGTGTCAAACGACAAAATTTTTCAAATCAAATTTGCTTATAAGAAAGAAATTTGTAACCATGATATATAGCACAGCATTGGACCCTATTTTATGATTTTTAAGGATATTTTGCTTTTCATTGGTAACATGAAATATCATATAGATTGGTTTTCAACACGGACACTTACAGGAGATAATTGCATTCATAGGGAGCCCCTGGGAGCTTATGCGTTATTTACAATCTCCATGTGCCCACGGGCATCCGTCGCATGATAAAGGTATTATGTGCAAATTCAAATTTGTCTCGATTTATGTTCCCTTTAATTCACAACTTATTTCAACATTTTGCTTAATTCATTTTACTAAATAATTTGTTTGCATTTGATTTCTATTCTCATACATTTGCAGAATTTTTTACGGATATTTTTTTTTGTTTTTTTACTGATAAAAATAAATATAATACAAAAGTTGTTAGAATAGGTGAATGAAGAGTATCAAATTAAATCAAGTTTGAAGGAAGTAAATCTAAAAAATTAAATTCTTGTTAAAAGCAGTGATCTATTGAAAGCGCGTGTTCAATTACTTTTTGGGAGCAGAAAATCATATGTTAGAGAAAGAGAGTAGCTTATATAAATACAGTTGAGTTTCAAAAAAGCTGAATAAACAATTGACTTTTAACTAAGATTTGCAATAAAGGTAAGCTTCTGGCATCAAGGCATTAGAGATATGTACTTAGGTGTCAGGTCACATTAGTTGGTAACTGGAAAGGAAGCAGCATTAGCAATAGTTATAATAAAAAGCGCCACAACGTTATAACGTTACAACAGTCTAGTGGACAGGTACAAAGAGTAATAGATAGAGAGAGAGGCATAAAGAGAGCTATGAATAATACAAAAAATAGCTTACACATTTACTAATATCATTCGAGAGATACATTTGCTGTTGTTAATTTTCAGAGAAGGGAAGGTTCAAGAGATAATAAACATTTTGGAAATTTACACTACTCTGTAGGTTAGACGTGGGACATTGTAAAGAGCTTGGTTGAACTTTGTTGATTTTAATTAAAACTAATATATACTTAAGAGTTTTAATAGACCCTTAAATCAGCGGTGCTCAAAACCGTGTTCTAGAACATGAAGAGAAAAAAGAGATAATTTAAGAGAAAATTAAAATTCTGTTTTTCTTTATATTTTACGGTTCTATTTAATTGTTTTTAAACAGGAATGTTTGCCAAAATAATTTATAAAGCAAATGGATAAAAAATATTTGTATAAATAATGACTTAACACTGTTTTGTTCTTGATTTAAATTAGAAAAGAGAAATTTGACTGAAAAGAGATATTTCTTCTTGAGCACCGCTGCTGAAATACTTCTTAATAGACTAAGGCTTAATAGTGAACCAATGTTGTAATGAAAACGAACGAAGATTTTCAATATCAGTAGCATATATATTTTTTTTTATACATATTTTAATGATTCCCAGTAATGAAAACAAAAACAATGTTCAAAATATTTTACATACTCTTGAGAGGGATTGAAAATTGAGAAAATTTATGACACACACAGAACTATCGATATGCTCAGTTATCTCTATAACTGAGATATAGGCTCAGTAAGATTGAATGTAATGTTCTCTGTTGAATTTGTGAATAGAAAATAAGGTCTATTATGTGTCTGCGATTAGTTTAGGTTAGGTTGAAAGGAGGGGCAAGCCTGAACTTCGGAATGATGTGAGTTTTGCTGGTAGAACTGTGACAGTGGCGTTATTTCATTTGCGTGTGTTCGCATTTTTCACTCAAATGACTCTTAAACCTCTGGCATTTTTTTTGTCATTTTGTTCAATACAGTTCTTGACTTAACTGTAGTGCATGTTATTGTTCTGATAACAGATTGCTGTCCCCAGTTCCACTACAAATAGGTCTGGCCCTCTTATCTACCCTAACTTTGAACCATCCGCACTGTGCAACTAATTTCTCTTTTGGTATTATGTCAAAAATGTCTATTGATTCTCCCATTGTGACCTGTATCCAACAGTTGGATGGTATGTGGTGTGACTATTATTGTTCCACTCTTCGATCGCTTTCAACCTTATATCTGCGATGGGTGCCTCATCCCTTATGTGCATTTCTATTAAGCTTATATAAAAGTTGCATGAATTTCCGCCTGGAAATCCCTAGTTTAGTTCAGTAGGCGGAGAGAGATTACCGTCCCCAGATCCCTTATAAAAAGGTCTGGCCCCCTTCTCTAATTCTTCTTGATTCTCCCATTGTGGCCTGTATAACTGTTGGATGGTAAGTGCTGTGACCTTCATTGTTCCACTCTTCCATCGCTTTTAACCATGTATCTTCGATGGCTGCCTCATCCCTAATGAGAATTTCTATTAAGTTTATATAAAGAATGTCCTTTTTGGTGTAGTCCTCATTGGCCCACTGATGCCTAGGCTACACATTATTGGACTTTCTGCAAAAAAAATATTACACATTTTATCCATTGCTCTCCAGAATACGCTTCTGTACAGCCAGTGCGTCTTTTTCGGATTTAGCCCCCTTCATGAACCTCGTGTCCTTCCACAGATTGATCAAGATGTATTTCCTTTTTTGTGCTTATTAGGGTGACCAAAAATCGGTTGAGAACCGGTTCAAATTTAGATATAGCTCCCATAAATATCTTCAAACGATTTCGGGTTAATTGTGCACCAGTCGGCCAATATCAGTGCAAATGACTTGAATTTTAGCACATCCGACCGAATTTAGTGTAGAAGCAATTAATTCAAATTCGAGGAAAACCGGTTTAGATAAATCTATAGCTCCCATATATGTGTTTCATGGGATTTGGTGTTTAAGTCCCCCACATTCGTAATATGCACTCCACACGAATGATATTTGGTACCAGAAATACATCTGTCAAATTTTATCGACATCGGATAAGATTTGGATTTAGCTCCCATATACAGGGTGAGATGAAAAAACTGCAACCAACTTCAGACTGCTGTCATTTCTAAGCCACTCCTCAGAGAGCTGTTTACACGGTGTTTACTTGCCAAAGAGGTCAGCTGAGAATGTGGACTTTCTGTTGCCCACCAGAAACAAAGCGCCGGACATGGTGATGGTGTGGGCCGCCATAACAGCCGATTGTCGCTCTTCGCTCGCACGCGCCACCCAAGAATGGTGGTTCCTAGCTTCATTTCCAGCGCACAATGGCCACCAAAATCTCCGTTTACCAATCCGTTGGACTATTGTGTCTGGAGTATTTTGGAAAGCAAGGTAG